CCCATGGGCCCTTTTCCCTCAAAAATGGTGCGTTCCCCCCATGAATTCTTTGTTTTGATCTCCTCACACTGTAGTACACAGATTTGAGATATGGTAGTTCCTGGTCTATAAATTTCTTGGTCAGGACTATGTCCCATGAAAACTACAGCCGACATTTGTCAAGGGAGGAGGGGAGTCTCAGTCCCATTAGCAGTGTCCACCGAGGGAGGGAAGGCCGAGCGGCCATGAACCCTATGGAAAAGTCTACACAATACTTCAGAAACAGTCTCAGAACCCTGTGGAACATCTCCTAATCGTAAGGAGCAAAACATGTGTTATTCAGGGGGTTAAATTGCATAATTTTTGTATTTTTTCAACAGATTGTACAGGATCACGCATAAGTATTACTTATAAATGCAATTTTGATCTTATTCACGCGCCTTAGTATATTTTTATTTCGTATTTCTTTTTTAGGCTAAAACTTTGAAATAGATGTTCGCAACAAAGCACAATGATTTTAATATTTCAATGATATTTTTCATTAAAATACATCAATCTTTTTCAATGTAGCAGTGTAAATATCGAAAAAGAATGATATTTTGCATTATTAAGTTTTCTGCCTTTTTATTTTCTTTTCTTTCATTGTAAAGTTATTTTCAGTTAAATATATATAATCTTTTAATAACTCTCAGGGGTGTAAATAAGGATTCTGTAGTGGGGTTAACCCCAATAACCCCCCTTATTTAAGCCACTGCTAACTCTTGGGTGTTAAATACAAAAAAAAACCGGTTCTGTCTGAAAAGTGTACACGCAAATTTCTTATTAACTTTTATTCTAGCATCAAGGCGAAAGAATGAGGAGAAATGTTAGTAAAAAAGGGGTGGGGGACTAAGACTTACGTGAAATTAAATGTGCAAAAGGGGTAAGATTTCATTCCGTTTCTCTTCCTATCCCATATCATTCTTACTTTCCCTTTCTCTCCTTCCCCATTCCTTTCACCTTCCCTACCCCTTAGACCTTTTCTCATTCCCCCCTTCTCAGTTCCCACTTCGCCCTCCTGTTTTCTTTTTCTCTGAACCCTTTACCTTCCGTTTTCCCCTTGCTCTGCCACCTTTCTCTTCTCAGTTTCTCTTTTCATCTTTCCGTTTACCCTCCGACTTCCCCTTCCTCTATCCCATTTCCCCTTTCCGTTAGCATTTATCTTTCCCTTTAACTTCCTCTTTCACCTTTCCCATCCCTTTTCCTTTCCCTTCCCCTTTTCAAATCCTTTTTCCCTTTTCAAATCCCCTTTCCCTTTTCTTCCCTATTCCCCTATCAATTTCACCTTTCTATTTCCCTTTCCTTCCCCCTTCCTTCCCTTTTCCCCCTTCCACTTTTCGTGCAAAATTAAGCCAGCATAACACATGGAAACCATAGACTTTACTGATCCAGGAGGGGCATGGAGCCCCTGTATCCCCTCCCCCCTGTATATATGCCTTTCTAAATTATGTTTATTAAAACTTAATTTTCTATTATCAGCAAATCCCTTTAATTTAAAACAGACAATAAAAGGAAATAAAGATAATTCTATGAGAAGTGTCAATGAAATTCAGACTTGAGATTCACCCTTTTTGCGGGAAAACAAAATTTGAAGAAAAAGATGATTAAAACAATAATGAAATTGTTTCTATAAATTTATTATTATATTTTCTAAGTACATATTTCGAGAGAGTTCGATAATTATTGCTAGTTAACAAGTAATTTTAATATTTGATGACGTTCGGAGATCATTCTACAGGGTTCATGGACGCTTAGCCTTCCTCCCCTCGCCCATTCCGAGCATTTATCTTGATTTATATTAAAAACGTTAAACCGTTTAACTGTTTTACTGTTTTACTCTCAAAAGAAAAATTTGTACCTATATAAAATTTATTCCCTCGGGATTCAATGATAAACCCAAGGGTGAAGTCCAATGTTTTACCATTGAATCCCGAGGGGGTTTTAATTTCCATTGGTTCTAATTTTCCTGAGAGTAAATGGTATGATCCTTTGTAAATAGCTGGTTTTAACATGAACCTGCATAAATTATATTTTAGATTTGCAGGATTTAATGAAATTAACTAATTTTCTAATCCCCTTATCTTTGAAACCTGACGGTGTAAACCTTTGATATTTCAAACCTAGACCTTTTTAACTCACAGAATTAATAGTTTGAAATATCAAAGGTTTACGAATTCGGGTTGCACAGATATAGGGATTAGAAAATCAGAATTTGTGGCAAAAACTCAATTCCTTAGAGTTTAGATTGGCGGGATTTAATGTATCATTTACTCTCAGACAAATTAAAATCAAGGGAAATTTAAACCCCTGAGGGATTCAATTATAAACCCGAGGGCGCAGCCCAAGAAATTATCATTGGATCCCAAAGGAATTAAATTATTAATCCCTATATCTTCACAGCCAAATGTCGTAGACCTTAGTTATTTCAATCCATGAATCCTGATGGATCAAATAATCTAAGTTTGAAATATCAAATGTCTACATTATCTGTTTGTAGAGATATAGGTATTAACAAATTTGAGTTTGTGGCAAAGACTCAATTCCTTTCCATTGATTCTAATTTGTCTGAGAGTAAATGACATTCCTTTGTAAAAAATAACAAATTATTTTTATTATTTATTATTATTTTTAAAAGGGGTGTGATTAAATGAAAATTATTGCATACCAAAAAACCAGTTTTTTTAAAGGAATGAAAATTGTTGCTTACCGAAAAATCACCTTTGTTTAAATTGCAAGGGGGAAAAAAATAAAAAACTGTTCTATATAGAAAAATGGTGTTTGTTTCTACAATATTAAATAATTGCTCATTATTGATTGTGCTGAAACTGAAAGAGATTGATAACAAGTTCAATTAAGAAAGTAGGTGCAAAATACCAAGTAACTCGTTTTTAAGTAAAAAATATCTTAGATTAGGATTATCATGGTTCTGACTCTGATTAGACAAGTTTTTTGTCTTTGTCCTTGGCAAATTTACCTTCCTTAGGTTTTTTTTCAAAATATCAAGCTCTTTTCGGTTATTTTGGCATAACATTCACGGGCAGCCGTAGTACATTTGAATTTCCTAGCCAGGTCAACCTTTCCGTTCCCAGAGTGTACTGTACCTAGCTCATGTGGACAGGACTAGCCGGTGCAACAAGGTTGACGAGGTCAGACTTTATGCTTCATATAGGTTGAATTTACTTTTACTAAAGGGGCAGAGGTGCGTGCATTACATGTAACATTAACAACCCCCCTTTTTTTAAATATTCATCAAAACATCTTTTCTAAAATATGAAAATTAAATTACAAATCAGTGCGCTTTGCTCAGCTTCGTTCAAAAAATTGAAAAAGAAAACTGTTAGTTTAGAACATTTGTTTCAATTGAACCACATTTTTTTTAATGTTTTCTAAATAAAAGAATGCTCTGTTGATAACCTCTTAACCCACTCTCAAGTCCTTTGAACGATATTAATATTTTCCTTTTTTGACAATTTAATTATTTCTTCTATTTTGAAAAATGCTTAAAAAATTAAATAAACTTGAAATATAATGTTCTCCAGTGGTTTCTATAAAGCAATTATGTTTCTTTCAGAAATTTTGACATAAATTAAATTATTTAGTTAATAACATATTGATAAGAAAAATTACATTATACTATAATAAACTTAATTCATACATATAGGCAATTTGACTCTTTTTACATGAGTATGCAGTATGCACTGTGGTGCAGTGTGGTATTAACAGAGGTTTATTTTCATCCCTATCATATTTACCATCTTAAACAAATGCATAAATTGCATGTTTTATGAATTCTTCTGTACAAAGATACGGTACGTAGATACAAATATATCACGCATGAATCATCCTGTACATAAATACATATATTACATGTTTTATCAATCATACTGTACATTAGTAAATATATTGCATGCTTTATGAATCCTCCTGTACATAAATAAATTTATTGCATGTTTTATGAATCCTCCTTTATTAAATACATATATTGCATGTTTTATTAATCCTCCTGTACATAAATACATATATTTCATGTTTTTTTAATCATCCTTTACATGAATAAATTTATTGCATGCTTTTTTAATCATCCTGTACATGAATATATATATTGCATGTTTTATGAATCCTCCTGTACATAAATGCATAAATTGCATGTCATATGAATCTTCCTGTACATAAATACATATGTTGCATGTTTCATGAATCCTCCTGTACATAAATACATATATTGCATGCTTTATGAACCCTCCTGTACATAAATACATATATTGCATGTTTTATGAATCCTGTTGTACATAAATGCATATATTGCATGTTTAATGAATCTTCCTGTACATAAATACGTATATTGCATGTTTTATGAACCCTTCTGTACATAAATGCATATATTGCATTTTTATGAATCCTCCTGTACATGAATACATGTAATGCATGTTTTATGAATCCTCCTGTGCATGAATACATATATTGCATGTTTTATGAATCCTCCTGTACATAAATGCATATATTGTATGTTTTATGAATCCTCCTGTACATCAATACATATATTGCATGGTACTAACAATATAACTAATTGAAACCATAGAGTAAACAATGTAAGCGCTATCTATAGAAAGAAGAAGGGGAGTTTTTTGCAACAAACTCTACTTTTCTTTAAATACCTTTATTTTTGAACCAGATGTTTAGATCTTAGAAATTTTAAACTATGAAATCTCTTAGATCAAATAATCTAAGTTTTAAATGTTGAAGGTTCACACCATCAAGTTGCAAAGATATAGGAATTAGAAAATTTAAGTTTGTAGCAAAGAATCAACTCCTTTAAACTTCTCTACCGTAGCGCTGCCAAGATTTTATATAATAATAATCACTTCCTTAGTTAAATTGACCTTGGAGGCCCAATTTATAAGTATTTAAACTAGCCACGGTCAGTTCAACCACTATCTTTCTTACAATTGACTGTATCTCTGAACCATATATATTTAGCAAATGAGAACGCTGCTCTGGAGGCCGAGGTTCGAACCCTCCAACGGAGGCTGTCTCGGAGGGATCATGAGATAAATAAACAGGAAAGAGAACTTCATAAACTCAGGGTAAGAGTTGAGATGTTAAAACCAGAGATAAGAGAAATGCAGGTCTATGAAGGTCTATGAAAGGCTAGAATCTATGCGATATTTTCTACAACACCATTTAGAGTACTTTACATGAAATTTGTAAAATTGTAAAGATTCATAAGGAGTGGAAAATTAGAGATTGAAAAGATTATTTCTAAGCTCATTTGAGAATTGTTTGCCTTTTTAATGCATTCTTTTTACTTTAAAGTTATGGAAGAAATACTGTGAAGTGCATTTTGAATAATGTACATATTTTTTCCAAAAGAAACTTTTCGAAAAAAAACTTTTCTGTCAAGAAGTGAACTCATGTAATTCTTTCTAAGTTTTGAATTAAGAAATTGTTTCTTTCCTTTTAGAAAGGAAACGATTTCATTTTTAAAACTTTATTTACTATGCAACGAACTTATTTTTATATATTGTTTTCTGGTGATGATTTTAATCTCTTTAGGGTTTCTCTCTCTTTGTAGATTATCGCAGATGTTTAATGAATGAAATGTATATTTAGAGTGTGCTACAGCAGGCTTCTCAGATGATGGCTCGAGGAGAAGATCATTTATTGAATACTATACAGGTTTATTTTAGTTTGTAATACCTTGGGTGCCAAGCTTTGAAGTCAAACCTTATAGAAATCCAACGTATAGAAACCGCTACGTATAGCAACAAAGCGTATTTTCCAAGAGAACATATTTTATATTTTTGAAAAATTAAATAATCAGTGTAAAGTAAATATAATTTTCATAAAATCCTTTTATTTAAATGGTAAAACGGAATTTTATGAAACTTTATAGAACTTTTGTATACTTTTAAGAATTTTTTTTCAAAAAATAAAACTGTAGATAGCATTTTTATATACTATATATTTTTTAATAGTAAAACGCAATTTTATGTATAACCATATAATCATTCATTTAAGTTGTCAGTACATAATAAAATAAAATAATGTCAAGGGTATGATAAAAAATAGAAATTATCATAATGATAATGATAAGCTACAATGTTTTACAAAAACGTTTAATTTCTCAAAAATATAAGAAATGTTCTCCCGGAAAATACGCCTTGTTGCTATACGTAGCTGCTTCTATACGTTGGATTTCTATAAGGTTTGACTCCCCAAACTTCGTCTAGAAACAAAATGTTTTCTAAAAGTGTCAAGCGTATTAATTTAAAACTCTTAAATCAAGCTAAGAACATGTCCTAATCAAGCTAAGAACATGTCCTAATCAAAACGTAAAGCCAATCTCTCAATAGGTTCAGATCGGTAATATAACCATTTAAACAAAATGTTTGAATTTTTCAGAGGCTTGCGCTAAATTAACTCGTTATCCACAGCATTCATTTTTTAAAGTAAAGGAATTTGGTTAAATAACGGGATCCACCAAAAGAAAATAAGAAATAATATATTTAAAGAAATGGGTGTTTGGGTCCGAAGACTTATTATGGGAACTTGGAAGTGGAACCAACTGAGCTTGTAGTGAACTGTTTTATATCAGGATTCTCACAGTATGGCCGGTCAGATCGTGTTCAATAAGAAGCAGGGAGTATCAGGGGAGAGTAATATTAGCACTGCTACAGCACAGAAACATAGCAAGGACTTCAGGTCAAACTACAAATTTAAACTGCGTCGCTAAACCACCAAAAACCGGTTCCAATTGAGCGCCGGCTCAAATCTCGAAACACTGAATACAATTTCAAGTGGAACAAACCATGTTTGAGGCGCGCCTCAAGTTTGAGACACGGCTAAAATTCTTAAAATTCGGCCTATGATTACTCGTCTCTATGCTTTATTAGTATAGACTTTTTATAATTTCAAATTATACTAAAGAAAGCATTTGTTGGTTAGTTACATTTAGCTTGTCAGAGAAATTTGACACCTCTGCATGAATGCGTAATATTTGGGAGAAAGAAAAGCAAAAATATTTTTAAAATGGATTTTTTCCTTGTCTACAAGAGATTAGAATGCGTACATCTATCAGAGGACAGATGTATGATCAGCTAAAAAGAAGATACAACAGTCAGAGAAAAGATTCAATACTCTTTTTTTAAATTTTGTTAAAAAAATTTAAATTTAGAAACCCTTGGTTCACTTCCGCCTTGCTAGTGTCAAGAAAACAAAAAGAAAAATTATTTAAGAAAAAAATCCTGAATCCAACTACAAACAATTTAGAAACTTTTAGAAAATATAATTCTGTTTATCGCACAACAATAAAAAAGGCCAAGACTAGTTATTTTTCTTCAAAATTTACAGAATACTCAAAAGACATCAAAAAGACCTGGTCTTTACTGAACTCTATTATATCTTCTAAGAAAAAAAGTCATTCAGTTCCTGATATTTTCACTGATGATGAAAAAAGTTTTGTGGGATCTGCTGAAATAGCAGAGGGTTTTAATGACTTTTTTGTGAACATTGGACCCAGATTGTCTAGTTATATTCCGGATTCTAATGTTAATTTTGAAACATATCTGAAGGAGCCATCCAAGGAAAATTTTGTGTTTGCAAATATTACACCAGAAATTATTCTTGAAACAGTGAGTAAACTTAAACCTAAAAACAGTTCAGGTAAGGACAATATTTCTACCAAGCTACTGAAGGAAATAATTGAAAGTATTGTCTATCCTATAGCGCATTTGTTTAACCTTTCTTTTAAAACAGGATATATCCCTAGTGATTATAAATGTGCAAAAATAATTCCTATCTTTAAAACTGAACAAAAAGATAAATTTAATAACTACAGACCAATTAGTATTCTACCAGCGCTAAGTAAACNTGATGAATCAGCACAGTGCTTTGTAGTTGAATAAAAATATGAAATATGAAATGAATTAGTTAAAAAAAGACTTAGATAGTTAATTTTACTGCCGTAAATGCAGGGTTATCAACAAAAGATAAGAATTTAATAGAGGACGTGAGTCAGACTCTAATAAAAACGCATAAATAACTTCCAGTATATATATATTTCTTATAACTTATTACTAGAGGGTTCAGAACTAGAGTCAATATCGATGTTTTATCAGTACTATGCCCCGTATCCGTTCTATCTCATTCTGTTGAATCTTGTGGAACTTGTTTAATGCGGCCAGGCATCGTCTTCCACAATTTCAAACTTTTTAGAAATAATTTAATTTAGACTTAATTTATTATTTGAGAATAGTATTTTAATTATATATTGCTAAAGATAAAAAAACATTTACAGTTGTGTGAGACGGTGAGACCATGAATGTAAGAACAAAAAGTAAATAAATGTTAAATAGAAAAAAAATTATTTTCCAAAAAAAAGACAATCCACTTTTAAAAAATGGAGTTATTCAACTTTATTAGGTTTTTTTATAATTTCATATAAACCTTCTATATGTTGTACTTATTTAAGTACAATTATGAGTACAATAATAGAAGCTATAAACATCTACGAAAAATCAACTTTCTTTTTAACTTAAACATTTTTGTATGATTTCTCTTTGATTATTAAAATAAATTCAGATCGAAGACCCTGATCAAAGAGGCGATCATGGAAAATGATTTTCTTAAAAACCTCTCCTCGGCTCAGGTTTGTAATTTACTTTTAAAACATGAATTATTCTTTTTTATTAATAATAATAATTTTGCAGTTTTTATTTCTCAACTAAGACTGAAAACAACAAATTAAGTAACATTTTGCACCGCTTTTACATGACAGAATATTGTTTGAAATTCTAATAAATGTGCAGGTTCGAGAAATTGTTGATGTCATGGAAGAGAAAAGGGTTCATAAAGGAAGCTTTGTCATCAGAGAAGGTTGGTACCACAGTTTTATCCAGAACTTCGGAGGCATCGAAAGAAATAATAAAATGTCGTTTTCTAAACCTACTGATTATGGAATATTACAGATGTCTAGTTTTTTAGTCTAATAATCATATGGATCATTTTAAAACTATCATTTTTTATGGCTAAATCTTTATTTCTACAATGACTTAGATTTAGGTATAATAGTGTAAACCCCATTGAAATATTGTCAAGACGACATTTTACAAATTCTTCCAATGTATCTGAAGTTCTGGGGTAAACTGTATATGATATGTACTATATGTACTGCATCAATATATTGCATATATTTATCATTGGGATAGGTCGGTACAGTAAATTTATTGCATATATGCATCACGGTGATAGGTCGGTACAGTGAAAATATATCTTTTATGCATCATGGGGATAGGCCGGTACAATAAATTTATTGCAAATATGCATCACGGTGATATGTCGTTACAGTCAATATACTGCATATATGCATCACGGTGATATTCTGGTACAGCCAATATATTCATCACAGTGATAAATCAGCACAATCAATATATTGCTTATATGTATCACAATGATAGGTTGGTACAATCAATTTATTGCATATATGCATCACGGGGATAGGTAGTTACAAATGATTTATTGCTTATTTGCATCACAGTGATAGGTCGGACCATGATGAAATTTATTGCATACATGGACCTTGCTTATTGCTTATATGCATTATGGTGAAAGGTCTTTACAGTCAATTTATTGCTTATATGCATCATTGTGATAGGCCGTCACAATAACTATATTGTTTATAATAATCGCGGTGATAACTCGTTACAATCACTTTATTGCTTATATGTATCACGGTAATAGGTTGTTACAATCAATGTATTGCTTATATGCATCACGGGGATAGGTCGTTATAACCAATGTATTGCGTATATACATCACCGTGATAGGTCGTTAAAATCGGTTTATTTCTCAAATAAATCACGGAGATAGGTTGGTACAACTAACGCATTGCTTATATGCATCACGGAGATAGGTTGGTACAATCAATTCATTGCTTATATGCATCACGGGGATAGGTCAGTTTAATCAACTAATTGCTTATTTGCATCACGGGGATGGAACGTTACAATCAATTCATTGCTTATGTATCACAATAATTCATATCTCAAGGTTTAAGAGTAAGTAAACCTCCAATTTTCAATCCATTTAAATAATAAGTTTTCATATTTTCTTTTAAAATAAAAAAAAAAATAGAAGTATTATTTGGCGTGTATGATTTTATTACTAAAAAAATATCTCAAAAGTCTCATTTCCTCAGTAAAAGCTATAATGTTTCATTCCAAGTATAAGTTTCATTTTATAAACAACGATTTGATAAATTTGATAAATTTGATAAGTACCATATTGAAGAGTTTAAAAAAAGTTAACTGATTTTTCATTTTGTTTAATATTGTAGATACAAAATATTTAGAATTTGAGTCAAAAATATTTTTTTGTTAATAAGAACACTAATGTTTTTCATCTGTTTCTGGGAAAACTCATAATCTAGAAAATGAAAATAAAAAAATTTTAAAATTTACTTTATTAACATTGAAATATATTTTTATATTATTTCAAAAAGAGTTCTGAATTAGCCCTGATTAGTAAATTATAATCAATTAAAAGAAAGTGTAAAGTTTTTTTTAAAACAAATATTTGTCAATGATGTTTTGAACAAGTTCTTTTAATTCTTTCAATAGAAGTTTTTTTCAGAAATAAACGTAATACTAATATTTAAATTCTCAAGTGAATTAAAAATTAAAATTTATTCAATTCATGAATTAAATACAGAGAAAAGTATCAACCTAATCTTTCTTTTCATGAAAATTCTCTGTTGAAACATTAATAAATATTAAAGAAAAGTCGGTATAGCTTTCTTTCATCCAAAGCTTGCTGCCCAAGTGATTGTTAAAGGGACTGATGGCGTAATTTAAAGTGTCCATCCAATTGTAAAGCGCCATGTCCGATTCTTTGACTGATTAAGTTAGACGGATTTATCCTTATTAATCTACAGAAATACTTTTAACATTTTGCTGGCAGCTTCCCTAACTCTTCTATCATCCCTCTCTCCGGCTCAGCTACATTTTGCCTAGTTACAATTTGCATAGTCACTTTTTGCCTGGTCACATTTTGCCTAGTTCACTTTTGCCTAGGTAACATTTTGCCTAGGGTAACACAAAAGAGCGAATTTTTTGCCAAGTCAATAATTTTTTATAAAAAAACAAATTTTGTCAAGAATTAAACATTTTTTTAAAGTTTAACCAGATAAATTTTAATGAATTAAAATTAATGAATTGAATTGTATTCTGTACAGCAATTTTAACATTCCTGTCACTCTACAAAAGATAAAATATGGTTAATTATGTATCAGATATATATATATATTTTTTAAATACATTTTACATAATCATGGAGTATAAATAGGAATTTATACAGGTGATCTTTATTTATCATTATTTATCTTCTGCTGCAGGTCATGTGCAAGGGTTTGGATATAATCAGCTTTCGGCATGGTATGGAAAGCTTCTACAACAAATTTCACCCTCTGTCTGGAGTCCTTTGATCTCTGCTTTCGACCTGAATTTGTCGCCATGTCCAGGCCGACTGCATTGGATAGATAAGCCCTCCTAGCCTCAGCATCCTGTTTAACAAATAGCTCTTGGATAGCAAATACATTCGGGCTGTAGCCAGACAAACTATTCCAGGTTCTGTTAAATGACTCCAGCATGTTGTTGGTTTCAATTCCCCCTCAAGGACAGTGGTGTACTGGTTCCACAGCTCAGGCTTAAAAAGTGCACCTCTGCCTCCTCTCTTTTCAATCCCTGTCGTCCTGTAATAGGAACCAAAGGCATTAATCTCCACTTGATAGTCTTCCCATTCTTCATCTTTCTCTTCACCATCATCTACCAGATTTGTTATAACCTCATGGTAGTACTCATTAACCCGGTCTGAAGGTACATAGCAAAGCCTGTACAAGCTATAGATAAGCTCTTGGAAACGTGGATTCTGGTGAAATAGACTTAGAAGCTTGTAATCGCCCAGGTTTTTACAGACAGCTGCATTATGGTGAAATCTACAACCCTTGTGCTGAACATCTGGAAAGACAATATCACATGCCTTGAACACAGCCAGTTCAAAGTCAGTCATAATTGTAGTTAGCCTGTTAGGTGCTCCCATCCTCTCCTTAATCTTGCTGAACAGCTGTAGGTATGTTGTCTTCTTTTTGTTTGGTAGAAGGCAATAGACACATGGTATACCCTGGCCACCAACCTCAGATGCTGCCATCACAATGTAGACCTGAATAAAAGATTATACATACTTAATTCAGTTAATTTAAACAATTTTCTTAAATTAAGTTTGAAATGTATATTATTTCACATAGATATTTTACCTGGCTGAATGGGGGAGGAGCAGACTTAAAAGTTCCATCAAACAACCACACACTGTGTGTTTTCAGAATATCGGCAGACCATCTGACCATCAGACCATCAAAATTATTGACTATGCAAAAAATTCGCTCTTTTGTTACTCTAGGCAAAATGTTACCCTAGGCAAAATGTGACTAGGCAAAATGTAGCTGAGCCCTCTCTCCCCTGTCTACCAATCTTCCTATGGCCTGTCTTCCCTATTTCCCTTATCTTTCATATATCTCTTAACGCCGGCCCTATTTCCCCTATCTCCCATAACTCTCATATTCCTCCTATCTCTCCTATCTTCCCTTTCTCCTCTTTCTTCTCTAACTCCCCTATCTCTCAAGCCGTGTAATTCTGAAAATATAGCAAGAAATGTTTTCCTGTTTTGTCGGCAGAATTAAGAAGAAATCTGTCTCAAATATATTATTGTTTTTTAGGTGAAACTGGTTCTCACCTTTACGTTGCTGCTGACGGAGAATTTGAAGTTATCAAGGAATATTTTCTTTAATTTCTTAATGAATTTTACATTTTTTAAAGCTAAGAATTTTTGTTTGTTTTTGATTAAATAAAGGATTGTACATTAGGATGGAAAAGTGCTGGGTAGACTCGGCGGAGGGAAGGCATTTGGTGAACTTGCGATACTGTACAACTGTAAACGTACTGCATCCATTAAGGTTTATATTAAAGAGTGCAAATCTAAACGTACTGTATCCATTAAGGCTTATTTAACAGTACAAATGTAAACGTACTACATTCATTAAAGTCAATGATATTGTATAACTGTAAACGTACTGCATCCAATAAGGTATATTAAACAATACAAATGTAAACGTACGGCATCAATTTAGGTCTATTAAAGTGTACAAGTGTAAACTTACTGCATCTTTTTAAATCAATAATATTGTGCAACTGTAAGCATATTTCATCTATTAAGTTCTATTTTACAGTAAAAATGTAAACGTGCTAAATTTACAAATATAAACGTACTGCATTCATTAAGGTCAATAAAATTGTACAACTGTACATATATTCAGTAAGGTCAATAAAATTGTACAACTGTACATTTATTCAGTAAGGTCAATTATACTTTACAAAACTTATGCATTTAGCATTTTTCTATTTTTTTCAAATGATAATTATAATTTATTTTCTAATTTACCATAAACAATTATTTAAAGGTTTCTGAAGAGAAAAACAAAATTTCTTAAATTAAATGGGAAATATTTCTATTTACAGTTAAAGAACTACGCAATATGAAGAAACAGTTTTAGGAGCTTTTTGCTTCAACGCGGAGCACATAAATATTAAAACAAGCTTTAAACTTTTACAGAAACAACTTTAAAAAAGAGAAAACTTTTCTTTTCATAAATCGACTTTCCGTAATTGTAAGCAACGAAAATTTATCTAAAGATACATATTAAACACATATAAATATATCCAGGCTTTATCTAAGGGTACATATTAACCATATATCCATGATGTATCTAAAGAAACACATTTACCATATATATATCCTGTGGGACACCCTGTATTAACCATATATAAATATATCCAGGCTGTATCTAAGAATACATATTAACATATATAAATATATCCAGGCTGTATCTAAGAATACATATTAACATATATAATCCCAAATATCGAACCCTGAATCCTGAATCCTGAATCCTGAATCCTGAACCCTGAATCCTGAATCCTGAATCCTGAATCCTGAATCCTGAACCCCAAGTATTTGTTTCAGGTGAAGTTTCTCCGAAGTGTCCCCCTCCTGTCCAATCTACCAATGGATCTGTTTACAAGGATGTCGGATGTTCTTGAAATAGAAATATTCAAGGTGAGTTGAAAACTTATAATATAAAATGATTTTTTATCTCTAAAATATTTAATGCATTGTCAATAAATGTGTATACAGTATTGGACCAGCTTATGTTAAACCCCTTTAAATTGATTGAACGAATAATCTGAGTAATGATGGAGCAAGCAAATTTGGCGCCCGAATCGTTTCATGTTCCGATGGCAGAGCCGGTAGTCGGTACACGATTTGGTAACGGCACAATTCAATCTGTTTTTTGTTAGTGGCGGGTCCACCGCAAGAAATGTTACCCCCAGTAGAAAAATTTATTTTCTCGGCCCTTGTCCAAGTCCAATTTTTGGGAGAGGCCGGGCCAGTTTAAGATATGTTTTTAGATTTAAATTTCACCAGAAATTTTGCAAGTTGGACAAATCATTGCTTGATCTGATCCGATAAATGGATTAATCGGTCTCTATTAATGTAATATGCATTTCTTGTGCAGCCCCCGGGTCTAGGCTACGTAGTGCATACTCGTACGGCAAGTCTAGGCTACCAAGTTTTCTGACATTTTTAAAACTTGATAAATTCAATTTTACCCACCATGGCCACATAGGATGACTTATAATTAAGTCTTGTGCCTTAAATGTTGTCATTAAATGGGTAGCTTAATGATTTTGCTTGCAAGAAGTTGTAACTCTGTACATATAGATAGTTTTTAGTTTGTAAAATGTATTTTTATGATGTACACTTATAGAACAGTACAAAGAATGTCATCCTTTTCGATTGATGTTGGTTATTCTTAAAATCTTCATGTATCGTGAGGGAGGGGGTGCCGGGCCGCCATGATCCCCGTGATATGACCTTCAGAGCCTCCTGATGCGCAGAATGACATCCAAGCCCTGCAAAATTGTCTCCACGCCCTTCGCAACCTCTCAAAGCCTCCGAAATTTTGTCTCCATGACCCCATTAAAAGATATTTGACTTTTACATCCAAATAAAACCTTTTTTTCAATAATATCAACATAAAATAGTTTTTAATGGTACATAAAGAATTTGTTTAGATAAGTCTACTTTAATTGAGATTAACTTGTGAATAAATATTGCAGTTTTATTTAAAGATTGAGAAAATTTTGTATTATTTTACATCTGTGTGTCATGCACGAATCAAACCATATTTGCACCAATTTACAAAACAAAACAGTTTTTGTGAAATGCTTAAATTTGTGCTTTGTGTAAATTTTTCAAAAGAAAACACTAAATACGTTTACTTATCTTTAAAATATAAAATATGTCTCTAATCTCCCAATTATTTCCCTTCAAAGGATCCAAATATTATTTAAACTTTCTGAGAAGACTTGCATTCTTCAAAATATATCAAAAGTTCAATGGGCTAGAATAGAAGAAGGGTTTCAAATCGGAATTCTGTTGCACGGAATTGCGCGCAATGATTGCTTCCGCTTGTGGCATTGCTTTTCAATCTTAAAATCAATAATTTTATCTGTGACTTACAAATTTATGCAGCAGATACAAGCATGGAAAATGAAATATCTCTGTAGGTTTTAAAATAATCGAGACCCGAAGTTTCACTTGTTTCACTTTCCCAAAGGCATTTTCCCAAGGGCGACTTCTCAAGTGACAATTTCCCAAGTGGCAACTTCCCAAAGATACATTTTCCAAAGCCGCAACTTGCCACAGATTAGGTTAAGCCTTATGAGGTGCCGTAGGCTGCAAAGGGGCAGAGCGCTGTGCCCCAGATGGGAAAGAGGGCCGAGCGCTGTGGCTAGAAAAGGCTAGGCGACCGATCGCTGCGAAAAGTACATACATGGGAAGTTACCGCTTGGGAAATTGCACATTTGGGAAGTTGCCTCTTGGGAAAATACCCTTGCCGTTGGGAAAAACCTTTTGAAAAGTACCTGGCATCATATATTGTAGTTAGGAGAATATATACTCCGCGAGGGTACTGCTGGAGACAGTTTCTACATAATCTCTGAAGGAGATGTCAGGGTTACACAGGGATACTCAGCATTCATTCATGCTTCACGAATTTATCCTTTAATCTGATAACATTGATTTAAACATAAGATTCAATTTTGTACAAATTGTTCATTATAAACATTCCTTACTTTTCCTTAAAGGAACTGTAAACGTAATTGTATGTAACCATTTATTTAACCAAGAGCTTGTCTTATTCCCAACGATACCCTTTAAACCTTAACTGATCAATAATGTGGAAGATATCGTGGTTTTAAACCTTGAAAATTGTTTAATTCTAATAATTTCCACCACACTGTTTCTCCGTTTTTAAAGCAGATATGTGAAAAATGGTACCGTTGTAAATCGAATATTCCACTATTTTCTTTCTTCTTTTTAACTTTAATAATTTATTTTAATTAAATTTTACAATATTTTCAAATTTCAATATGATATCAGATGGAAACATTTTGAGACTTCAATAGGTTTCCTTTCTTTTCTAAATTTGATATTACGTTTCTACATCCGTTGGATTATCATGGTTTTTATATGTACATTTTAAAAATGTAGTTTACCCCATAGTTAAATTTACGAAATCCTCACACAATAATCTTATTTACTGGATTTAAGGAATATTCTGTAAAAAAACAATATATATTTTTTATTAAATCTTCTTGCTAATGAATACTTTTAAACCTAGAAAAACGACAATATATTCAACATTATCGATTTGATACAGGTTTTAAGGATACCCTTGTTAATCGGATATTGACATTTTTGCATGGAATGTTACCTCCTATGTATCTAATTCTGGGTGAATACAGATAAAACTGGAGAAAACCTCCTTAATTATTCTTTTCTGTAATAATTAATTAAAAACATGTTTTTCGAGAAATGTTTTTGACTTGTAAAGAAATATCATACAACCATGGCAAACATTACATTTTATTCATTATTTAATCTTCATTTATAATTCTAAACAGTTTTTGTAGCGCTATTCCTGTTAAAGAAAATATTAAAAGAGGGGAAATCTTAGAAAGCCTCCAATCATTGTTCAGCTAATTGCCTAATTATATTTTTATTACTTTACTTTGTGCCAATTCATCATAAGTTAATATTTTTAAAAAAAACTTTCGGACACAAATGTTGAGACAATCTTGGATAGAACATTGATAATGAGGAGAAAAATATTAGAGTTCTGTCCAGAGGAGAATATTTTGGAGAACAGGTACATTTTCATTTAAAGAGTCTTTTGGCGTAATTTCAAGTGGTCCTTAAAGGGAGTGTTCGAGGAAAATGAAAAGGGTTATAGGCTTACGGCAAAAAATTATCGATGGTGATCGCTACAAACCTTACTTCTATCTGTTGCGGCTATAAGAAGAATATTGTTAAAAACGAATCTAACCGAAGAACGTTGCGTCCATACAAAGTCAGAAAGTTGCAACATTTGACGGAATCGTAAAAAAAAGCAATTTAATTCCAAACATATTATTCAGATATTACAACCTATAATAATCTATAATTGTTCGACGCAGTGGCTTAAAAAAATATTATGAAATGTCAGCTATATTCGAATGCGTCGAAAAATTATCAACGATTGTAATATCCGGCCAAATGATTTGTTTGGAATTAAATTTATTTCTTTACGATCCGAGAGTCGAATGTTGCAACTTTCTGAATTTGTATAGATTCAACGCGACGTTCTTCGGTATAAGTCATTTTCAACCATTTTCTCCTTATAGACACAACAGATAGAAGTATGATTAGTAGAGATCTAAAGTGCTTATTTTTCGTTGTAAGCCTGTACCCCCTTTAATTTTTCGGTAACATTCCCTTTAACCCTATTCCCGCTGGGGGGGGGGGGTCAATTTGACCCCCCCTGTAGTTTTTTTTACATAACTCAAAAAGTATTGGTCTGAGGCTGTTGAAATTTTCTGACTTTTCTTACATACCCAAAGCCCTCCCTTTAGGCCTAAAACCGGGCTTTAATACTAACTGCCTGAGTCCTCAGGCACACTGCCTGAATGACTGATTTTGCCTGTAGCAAACTAAATCTTTGTTTTGACCCACTTTCACTTGTCAGATTTTGATAAAATTTAGCTTTTTGGAAAGCCTATGACATAAGGAAACGGATTGCACAAGTTTTGCGAAAAAAATTGCACTTTTTTTGCAAACAACCTGTCAAAGGAAATTTGCACATTTTTAGTTTTTCTTGATTAAAAATCAGGTTATTTAAAATTTTGCAAAAATTTTTGCATATTTGAAATGGCATGGTCAAGGGCTTTTCAAAAATGTATAATTTGTCATTTTTTGGACAAATTTTTTTTTGCAAACATTTTTACTATAAAACTGGATTTTGCGATAAAAAATTCAATTTTCGCAAATTTGCAAATTGTTTTTGCATATTCTAAAAGTAGAGCACAAGAGCTTTCTAATGATGTATCATTTGTCATATTTGGACATAAAACATGGGATTTAGAGGGGGGGGGTCAAATTGACCCCCCCCCCAACGTATCCTGGTTTTCAAGTACCCCAGCGGGGATAGGGTTAAGGATTCAATAAATGTCAGATTCACCGCTGTATTCCTTAAACCTTTATCAGAGCAGAAATGAGGGAGATATCCTTGTTTATTGAAAAAACAAAATTTGCAGAAATTATCTCTTTTCTTAACCCTAAACAATCTGGGCCCAGCTCTAGCTTTTTTGTCCTATCACTCTCATTTTTGACACTCTCATCGTGAAATTATTTGACTTTTTATACATAGAAATTTGTTAATGCAAAAGGTAGGGTACGTGGCGGTAAACAATCTAAAATAGCCCATTACTTTTTTGTGACTGAAGGTACAGATCTAAAAACTATATTTTTGAAATGCCCTTGAAATATGGATGTAGAAACACACTCACACTTTGACATTTGTTTAAAACAAAACAAAAATATTTTTTACATCTTTTTGTCCCAATTTTTGGCATTTTTTCAACCTGCCTTAGCGCCCAAGTTATTGGTCTAATTTTTTTCAGTAAGCTGGCATTGAAGGATTGGGCTATGAATATGCATTTCAACCTCATGCTTATACTCTAATGCTTATTTTTCTCCGGGGGGGGGGGAGGCATAAATTCAGACCCCACAGCCTTTATAGGGTTAACAGACACATGACGATATTTTCATAATAGTTACACAGATAAAGGTTTAAAGGGTACAGTTGGGAATCGGCCATGTAGTTACCTTAATAGAGAATCACTGGAAATCGTGTTGAACAGTACTTTTCCGGCTTTACTAAAAATATAAAATCTTTGTTTAAAAAAATAATTCATCTTTGCTAGGCATTGCTGAATACACACATAAGGACAGCAAATGTTATCGCAGCGTCCGCCACTGTTGAGTGTCTCACACTGGATCGAGAGTAAGCTTTTTCATTAAAAAAAACCAAGATTTTTAAAACTCACTTTTTTATTTTTCACCTTATTTTTACAAAAGTCTTTTTTCGCTAAGTGTTTCGAATGTTTAATTTTGCCCTACTTATACCCCTTGGAATGCATGGAACTAATTTTATCAAGACAATAACAATGATTTTAGATGAAGTTCGGAAATGTTTTTAATTTACCAGTTTCGAAACAGTCCAAATATGACGTCACAATAAAACAATCATATGTACCTATATCTGCTCTTCATTTAAACATTTCTGAAAGTTTTCAAAGATTTATGAGATCACAAGATCCTATGAAAGATTACAAGATCCTATCAAAGATTACAAGATCTTATTAAAGATTACAAGATCCTAAAGAAGAATTATGAGACACCATCAAAGATTTATAAATTCCTATCAATAATTTTTGAGATCCTATCAAATCACTATTTCTTTTACAAAAAATCAATGCAGGTCATTCTTCCAATTTGTTGGAGACCTGACAGAACTAAAGGAGAAGGAGTACTGTGCTCCGACAAAACATGAACTTAGTACAGTACCATCAGAGGTTAGTGGGTGTTCAATTCTGCATTTTAGACTGATTTTGTGTTTAACTAAAAACAACGTTTCTAACGACCTTCCAATTATAAAGTGGAATGTCAGATTCACAATGGTACCTTTTAAACTTAGTTCAATTGAGGCTAACGGAGATATTTCTTTTTCTAACGGCAAATTGAGACTTGAGTTTTCTGTCGTCGATGATCCAAGAAATAACACTTTAAAATGAGGGTTATTAGAAATTACGTCTACAGTTATATTTACTAATGATTTTAATAAATACAATTGTAACCTTCTATAGTTGTTAACACTGATGGAAACTTCAAAGGCTTTTATCTTTTAAAAAAAAATTTGTCGTCAGACCGGCCACAAAAGAAGTTTTAGAATCATTTTTTTGGATTTGTTTGATCAAAGCATGCAATGATCTTCTTACGGTTAGATTAGTTTAAAAGTGACCTTATATATATTAATATATAATGTTTATATATATATATATCTATATAGTATCTGATAAATGATTATTCAATAAGAAAAACAGTTTTTTTTTTTTGGGGGGGGGGGGGGTTTTCTACCCAACCCCTGTTGTTTTTTTTGATTTTTGAATAACTTAAAAATGGCTTACATTAGAACGCTAAAACTTTTTCACTTTTTCAACATCATAGTTGTTTCAACATACCTTTTGAACTATTTAAAGGTCCTCCCTTACACCCTAACCATAGAGGTTTAATTTTATTTAAGGCCTTGAACAGTTGGACTAGGGATATGTATCACACTCGCCTATCTAAACTCTAAAGGCAAAATCATCCCAATCTATAATAGACAAAAATAGCACAATCGGGATACCGGGTTAGATTACTTCTCAAGTATATCAAAAGTACAATTGAAAAGTGATTCAACTTGTCAAATCCAGTTCAACTAATTCTGCTATTCATCTCGCAAATTCAACTTCTTTATTTACAGGAGACTCTGGACATTGATCTTGAGGATCTTGAGGTTATTGCAACCCTAGGAGTTGGAGGGTTTGGGAGGGTAGAACTAGTACAGGTGCATATATTTAGAACTGCTTGGAGAGAGCTAGAATTTTAATTTAAAATTTTGATTTTCAAGTTTTTAAAGCAATGCGAATACTCCAAGTATGTCTTGGTAACTCGATAAACTCAACCTGAATGTTACTTTTAATCAAAACCCATTAAATATAATGTATACTAGATATACGTTGACAATTAAAAATAAAACATATCTCTGGTGGTAACTTTTAATGAACGATTGTGCTTAACTCTTTGTCTGGTCGCAAGGAGTTTAGCCGTAGCTTTGGTTAAATGTTTGGACCAATGCAAGATCAGCTAATCTGACAGCGCGTTTGATCCAATTCTCTTCAACTCAGTAACGTTTAATTACCAAGCTTCAAATCTTTATTATGTTTCCTTTCTAACACATTTTTATTTCAGCCCCGTGATAAACCAAACTCTTCCTATGCTCTCAAATGTTTAAGAAAACATCACATTGTGGAGACACAACAGCAGGAATATTTATAATAAACTTATTCTTAAACATTTATAATAAACTTAATCTTAAACATTTATAATAAACTTATTAATTTAATAAGTTTAAATAATTTAAATTAATTCATGAACACTGACCGTAACATAGGAACATAGCTGCTCAGTTCATTAAAGAATTTAACGCAAGGACCATTGATACTTAGTTAATTCATAAACCAGTAACTGGAACATTTATCCCCCCCC